GCATCGCTATATTACCATCGATTTTCGCGATGGCCTGCATGATTAAGTGAGAGTCGCATCTCTCAAGTTGTGAAAGACAACGGAATGTTTATTGTCTTAGGGTTGATTCTAAGCTTGAGGTTACACTCGCTATGAGCTTCTATACTTACCGGTTATGTGACAGTGATCTCTCACCCAATCACCGTTCAGTGGTGAGTCACACACGTGACAGTTAATGCTACGGAGTGAGCTAACCTGTCGGCTCGGGTCATACGCATGGGAGCCGATTCTATGCAACTTTTCCCTAATAATTTCTTCTTCCTCCTTCAAACACTTTAGAAACCTTTCAACCGCGCCAGGACCCCTGTACACCACGGAGATTTCGTTTCACCGCCACAACGGATCTACTATGTATCCAAATCCACATGCTTCATGCTCTTGTGTTTTGTATGTGGTGGGAGTATCCCCAACAACCTTAATTGGTTTGACCAAGGCTTCAAAGTCGGCGTATATAATATAAGGCACGGACATTTGGTGCTTGTGGTTGTAGAATTTTAGGATATTGTCGCCTTCCTCGGGCATGTCGATGCGTATAGCCGTCTGTCCCACACCTTGACAATACTCCTGGTGGGATTCTAATAAATCAGCTCGGCTGAAACCGTGTAGACATCGCATACAAAAGTGTTTTTCCTCTTGTGTTTCGACTGATCGCACAACAACCGCATTGAAATGTTTTATCCACGCGGTAGTGATACTTTTCACCTCGCTGGATCATGAATATATTGATAACACGCTTCCCACCAACGAGCTGAGCCTGTGTATTATTGTTGTGTCGTCTTCGTGTCCAAAGACATTTATAGCTAGATTATTCTGTTTTTCTACTTTAGTGATCTGAGATATGGTGGTTGGTTCATCTATACCATCCCAGTTGAGTCCATCGTCTTGGGGATAACTAGAAGGCCTATTCGAATTAGTGTCAGCTGGAAACAAGGCTGATCTGATAGCTAATCTCAAGCAATCGTTTCCTCTATTCTTGACGTTGACTATGGCATGTTTTTTCTTATAGTAGGGAGGCAAATCTAGGTATGACCCGCCTTTGAACGGCACGTAGTTAGCTATGTCTAGATAGACAATATCGATTTTATCTACAGCCCACCCGGATCCCAAGTGTGTGTAGCGTTCTAGGTGTTCCTGTATCTGCTGAAAACTAGTATCGATCGATGTGTTTATAGTCTCTATCTGGGTCACGACCTCTTGTACACCTCGAAGTAAGGCTGAACGTATCGGTAACATCCCCACGCTCTTTTCGAAAGTGTCATTTTAATTGTGATTTGAAATTTGATACTTCCAAGACTGGCTAGTTCCTGTTTTATTTTATCATCTATCAGGGGCTTAATATCTGAGACATCTATATTCCTATCAACGCCAAGCGCCAGCCTCTTAAATATTTACCTACAGCGCTCAGTGCGCATTTAACTGTATAGTATTCATAATTGCGCATACACCTAAGGAATTAATGTCTAATTGGGTCAGCCGTAAATGTAAAAAATTATATATCCTCTCCTCACCCCAATGAACTATTTTAGATGGGTTGTTTCGATCCAGTGCTCACACTGTTTGATATAGTATTTTTGAAGTTTAGCAGGTATTCCGATATACTTGTAAAACAATCTATCTGGTGTTGAGTCGTGATGGTCCCACACATACTTAAGGGACGAGTATACTTAACACCATCTTTAATCCATACCATTTTCAATATTACCTGAAATCTGAAGTTCAGTTTATCTTTGAGTATGTTTTTACCTGAGATTCGATGTCTTCACTGGGATCAAGTTCCACAAACATATCTATATACGTAAGTGTGTAATAATCTCTAATTGGGGTCTATCTTGAGAAATCGCCACGCTCTTTTATGTAGGCCTTTTATTCTCGTAGATGAGGTGATGTCTGACTACGCTCACCGCGGAGCTTTACATAAACAATAGTGTCCTTTGACTCCTATACCACACACAGAACACGAAGTAGTTGGGACTTCCCATGTGGGAATAACAGTACCCATGAGTACCGCGATACCCTACCACAGGTCTCGGTCTTCCCATAAGTATGTATTCACATCTATACATGTTAACATATTTATATGTGTATTAGTCTAATTGTTTCACAACCAAAGCAGTCAGCCGCTATACCCAGCGCTATGAAGGTCAGTTCACGGTCCATTTGTCCCTTGGATGGTGTGTAGTACTGAGCGAAAGTGTTGGCTTCTGTAGTGGCTCCAATCGCTTACCAGTTAATAAGTAGTATTGTCTCGCTGCGCGTCGTCGACATCGTGGAATGTTTGAACGGCATGGTTTTCACGCCTGAGTTGTTCGTTAATGTAATCGATCCGCTGGAGGCGTTGTTTAGCGCACTCGGCCTGTGCTATTTGTAAGTTCTCAATAGCGAGATCGTACGCTTCCTCTCCGCCTGTATTTCAGCCGCGTGTGACTCTCTCGTGAAGTTAGAAAAGAGGAAATTACTCCCCGAAAATGCCAGGGCATTCACTAACGCACCACCGACCATCATAGCAATCGTGAGCCATCCTTATATTTATTTCATAATATCTTCAGGAATTATTCCTTGTTTTACTAGGATGTCTTTGTGGCCATCGCCATACCAAGGTTCATTATTAGCATACCCATATCCTGCAGGTTGAAATCTAGCTTGATAGTCGGTTGTTTAAGCACCATTTTGGTCAACCGAAGCGCATCCCACGGCTAGACTGGCGACCACGGTGGCGTGGTATGCGCTCGTTGACTTAACGCTTCCCCTCAGACATTATGTATATGATATAAATATATTAAATTATAACATGATATGCGGGTTGACCTCTAATTGTGGGGGTTCCTCCCTGAGATCCCTGTGTCGCGTGTATATAACCCATGCAGATAGCCACGCAGCAGTTGCGCATACAACCAACAAGAGTCGCCCGGTGAGTCACCCTGATAATTTTATGTTGGTTACACCACCGCTTTTTACCGGCAGCTACTCTCTTAGGATTCTTCTGTCTGGTGACTGTGGGAGGGTTCACAGTCACCTGTGAGGGGGTCTCCTCCAGTTGGGGTGGGGTCTCCTCTGAAGGGTCTCCTCCTTGGGGGTCTCCTGTGCAGCATCCATCTATACTATTATTATTATTTTTCCTCTCAAATTGACAATGCTTTGTCGTGATAATCGCCGGCCACCGGGCTAACAACATACCGTGATTTATGGTACAGCTCGCAGCTGATAGAGCTCAAGGCGTGTTCGATAAAAGGGTCTTTCTCTAAGTCTTCCCACAGGTAAAGTCGACGTCCCGGGATGGGAAGGAAGTATGACGCAATACCAGTGTATATCTGGGTCATAGCCGATCCTATTGTCTTTGTCATCTCTGCACCTAGTCTAGTCTCAGATTTAGCGCACAGTTTATCGATTTCTTCGGGCTGACATTTTGTGAATTTTATCCCGAGTGTACTCCTAAAGTAATGTTTGGCTTTGCCACCAACAGCCAACGCCACCAGTTTCTCTCGCTATCATCATCCACCTGTATTTGGGTACCAACAGTTGCTCTAGCAACTCCTCACACTCCATCCTATAATATGATAAGTAAGTTTTAGTTTTAACAATATAATATACCATATAAGTTTAAACACAGAGAAATGAAAGTTAAGTTGCACACGACGCAGCACTTCAAATACCATAACTATAACTAAATGCTAAGTATTTATACTAAGCATTGCTAAGCTTTTGCTAAGCATTGTTAAAAATTTACTAAGCATTGCTAAGCATTGCTAAGCTAAAACACACTATAGGCTACTGGTTGGTCTGTCTTGAGCACGAGCTTAGCGTGTTTAGTTTCAGCTAGCTGTTTCTTCACCCGCTCCTCGCTTCTAATTTGCTCATCACATCGTTCTCTCAAACACTCTTCAACGAATCCCTGTCCTTGCAGTGAAATAAGGCCACCCATCGCGCCTGCTCGGAGGTCTTTCAACACCGAAGTTGAACTTCTGCGTTAGCACCCAGACGCTGTGCTTTATGCGGTCGGCCTGAAAAAATGCCAGGTACGATAGCATATCTCTCTTTTTGTTATCTCGGCGATAGCTGCAGTCGCCCAGTATGAACAACGCCGACCCTTTAAATTTCATATGGTAAGCTTTTAACCAGTCCTGTAGACGTGGCCCGGATCGACTCTGTGTAACGCCAGGGTCCGGCCATAACCCAAGGTCTTTCCGGTAACGCTTTTATTCATGCTCAGAGTAGGACACATGATAACGATGTGGTCGAACACATCCCTGTAGTACCCTCCAACATATCCAACACGAAAACGGTCTTCCCACAGCCAGTCTGCCCGCAAGACACTATGGCGCAGTGTGGGTCAGCAGGGCAAATCAGTAAATGGCTTGCAAATTTAATCTCCCATTGTCTATATTAAGTTCGCGCCATCCATAATTAACGCATAGATATAATTTCAACTTGCCAGCGGGTTGAGCCTTCTTAGTAATCTGGATAGTAATTCCTTCGCTACCATTGTCTATTCTCACGGCCGCTACCGCAGCAGTTTATCGCCATCCGTGGATCGCATGTCCAACCACAGCTGCACTTGTTAGTTAAGTATTCACCGATTTGTAACGGAGGATAGGTCCAGGTCTTTGGCTATATATGGATGTTTGCTCGGCAGCTTTTTATCTCATCCCACTGCTGGTAACGCGACGCATACCATGACTAAACAGCTGGTTGGGCACCGATGGTCACTTCCACCTTTTCGATCTCTGGGTTGAAAAACTCGCTGTCCCTCCGAACGGCTCGTAATCCTCCACAGGAACTACCAGGATGCCTTTCATCGATCGCGGCCGCACGCTCAGGTTGATATTCCACACAGTGTCGCTCTTATCCCGCATCGATGGATCTATGCCTCAGTATACGATCGTATACAGGATGGCTACATTACCCGAAAGTACTGGTTTCAACCTGCCTTGCCAGCTCCGGGTTAGTGACCATGTCGAACTCAGAGAGATGTTGTCTATGGCGTAACTGGCCTCATCACCGCTCGTGCGACGCACGCACTACTTTACTGTAGTCATTAAACGCGGAGCTCAGATTCAAGCCTATCACCCAGCTGCGCTTGGTAAAACGGGCGCGTGTTCCGCGGAGCAACTCAAGTCGAAATGGCACGCAGAACCGGTTCCCGTGACGCTTGAGCGATGGCCTTTTCACCCGCCTGATAGCTTATCTAACTGGTCTGCCGTGAAGGCATACCCACGCGCCGATCTGGTCGATTTACTGATACCTTGGTACACGCCATTGACGCGCTCTCTCCTCGCTTCCAGAGGTCCTTGTAGCAGTGAAAGACGCCGCTATCGCCGATACTCAGCACCTCGCTACCGGGTGATCTTGATGGTCGTTTTCTTGATGATAGCTCGACTTCCACGCTCCCGCACTAGCTCGCGTTTGTCGCTGTCGGAGGTCAACGGATGTTGAACGCCAGTCGAACAGTGCCTGGTACAATGAGGTCATTCGCGCCTAAGGTTTGGAAATCTAACCAGCAGCGCTTTTGATTCTGGTCTATCTTGCTGGGATTGTTGGTGATGGTCACCGACTGACGACGGCTTTGACACCTAGTGGCTCTCTCGATCTTCTGAAAGGATCTAGTTTTCTACCGCATATTGTTATATAAATGAAATATATAAGTTTTAATACTAAATAATGGCCGAGTATATCCCTATGGAGGATATGTGGGATAATAGTGCCCAGGATGATGTTTCATCCTCATTAAGTGGTGAACTCGCATACAGCCAACTGTCAACGATTATTACAACGCAGTTGAAAATAGAGAAGACATCAAACCGCTGGGGAGGGACTATTCCAAGTTTACAGTCGATAATAAGGGCACGCTATGATTGAAGGCTTACCCGAGATCGATCTCATGAATAAGCACGAGAGAACCGCTTTGCCTTATCAACACTCACCAGTCGCCATGGTAGTAACTTTATCCGTGATGAACTAGGCTTTCGTGGATTACGATGGGCGCTAGCGACCTAAACTTCCTCCTAAGACCGCCCAAGATCTGCAAGCAGCCAGAGCCAATACTAGGAACGCTAAAGAAACGCCAGACAGTATCGAAAAATATTGGCTACATGATCATGACAAACCCTTGCCGGTCTCAATTTCCTCTGAGAGAACTTCGCGAGGCCTAGACGACAAGCCTTGGAAACATGTGTACGGAGAACTCGCTAACAACATGGGTAAACTGAACGAAGTCGATGAGCGACGCATCGCCATGGAGAAAATAAAACTCACGAAACTGAAGACGATGATATGAAACGCCGATCGAGGAGAGAATAAAAACTTGGAAGACGAGAGACGGACTCGGTTGGAGTCCGCTTCCTCAACCGGAAGCCCTCCGATCTCAGATCAGTAGAGTAATGGAAACCATCGATCGAAGTCCTAAATGAAGACACCACGCTTAGCTGACAGGATCCGAATCCTGTTCCGTGAACAAGGCATCACCATCGCCAGCATTTTGACTGCACTGGGCTTCATCATATCAACCCTGGTGGTGTCACTGAGTGGTACCCCACACCCCCAAGTGGTGGCGGTGGTGGCACAGGTGGTGTCAAAGAGTGGATTAAAAACTAGGGGAAACTCTCGGCTAAACTGGCTGGTAAGGCAGTCGGCCCTGCCCGGCATCCTGGGTAGCATCGCCTCGCGTGGTTGCTGAGTGTTTTAGCTAAACTGCTACGTGGCTCAGTCAAAACCTGTGGGCAGCCATCGCCGCAGTAGCTGGTTTGCGTAATGAAGGCTAAGGAATTTTAACCAAATGAGCCCCAAAGCCACCCCACCAACCACCATGGCTGTTTTAACGATCGATGTGCTGTGAACCCACAGTGGTGCAGACTGGGACTGTAGGTGTGTGTTGAACCCTAGGTTCCGGGATGGTTTCACTATACCCGCTTCACCGGTCGTGGGTGGTGGACGGGGACATTGACATCGAGGTTGACGCCCAACTTTTGACCGCCGTGGCTACAATTATTTCGTTGTTGTAGCCCACCACTTTTTTTACTCTCAGTTGCATATCGCCGAGCCATATGTACAGTCCCACGTCGAACACGAGTCGAATTTTCGACCTGGCATATTCCAACACGCCTTGGTAGCGCTTTGATGGCACTCGGAGATCAACTGGAGCATTGATAGCATCCTCAACATTGACAACTTAACTGTTTCTGAGCCGCCGCCGAAGCAGTCCCTTTGCCTAGGATATTTGAACGCTGCGCTTTGCGTCTGCGACCCAACAGTGCCCGCACACGCATCGCTCGATCGTCATTCAAGCCGCTCGTGCCGCAACGCAGTATACCCTTTCGATTCCAACATGAATTTTTCCAATCACCCCTGCTCGAACCTCCAAACTCGGTAATCCTTGCTGTCGTCGAATGCCATATAACGGTCATCCCACTTTCGCTTGTTGTGACGTAAGCATTCGTGATAACGCTTCACCACCCCATTCTTTCAACTTTCGCTGGCTTCCACGAGGCATGTTGTGAACGATAGGAATACCTAATCCGTGGTTCGGTCCCGCAAACGCCAATCCGCTTTAGTGTCGATTCAATTCTTTGCAAATACGTCAGAGGCCCGCTTCTATCGCATTGGTTGTTTACTGCATTCCACGCTTTTTCCTGTGAGAGCGGGGCTGATCTCTTTGAGGATACGCCTGACCTGGTAGTACACGTGAAACGGAACACAGACTGACTCAGCGGTCCACGCCGAATGTCGGATACACCACACCCCGTTGTAGCGCACTTCACACGGCTAAGTTGAGTTGATTCTGCCAGAACTGCATCGGTTGTTGAACCAAGTGCACTGTCTTAACGTTAGTCACCGAAAACTTATAATTTATCGAACACATCTATGAACTGGCGTCGAAATACAATCCATCAGCGCACCACGATCTTCATGTTTTAAAACTATTATATAATGAGTTTATATAACATGTACATAACACTTCCAGGAATAACGAGCGGCGAGGCCGCTCAGCTGACGACGCCGATCGATAACACGTCGGGTCAACTCGAATAGCACTGTGCGATATAACCTACCTACCGCGATGGACTAACATCAACGCTAGCAACAATAAACTGTTCGTAGGGTGGCGCTTAGCAACAAGATAATTGATGGTTACTACAGCGTGTGCTCTAAGCTTTAATGCAGGTATTCAAACCATTGGGAGCCTAACTCAAGATGAACGACTCAAACGGTACAGTGGTGTTAATCAACAACGGAAGAAACTCCTTGAGGCTCGGTCGACCACTGGCGAGGACACTCGTATGCAGCCTGAAGAGATAAAACCAACGACTACAGTCACAGGCACTAAGTTACCCGAATTTAGTACCGCATCGAAGCTGTGCATTCATCTCAACCAGGTTAGCAATAACGGACAATATTCAAGGAGGTCACCCTTCCACTATATTGAGAGCCGCACCGGTGAAAACGGAGAAATACAACGACACGGCAGAACCGAAGTCGCTTCAACGTGGCAATATAAGAGGTTAACCCAGGGCAATATCCCTGAGCTGATAATATCGGTGTTAGATATAAATCATAATCTCGTGAATATAGGATACCTCAGCGTAACGCTGCACATAAAATGACCAGCGACAAGGTCCCGGAATGAAGTTGAAAAATGCACCAATGTGGGGATCTCGATCTCGGGACACACGCCGGATTCATCGACTCGAGTAGATGGTAAAGTGTACGCCTTTGCAACTTAAAACAGCATTTACAAACGCTGCTGAAGTTTCCGTGGTACTAGCAACCTGCGATATAGTAGATACCTCAAGAGCGCAGTCAACACTAAGTACACCCTTGTCACCACCGGGATGATAACTGGATGATATACCCATATCGGGGCAAACTGTTCGACTTAACCGATGTTGAGAGCACTACCGTCGCCCAAACAAACCATATACCTGCTTTCACCGATGATGACAAGTGGGTGTTATTACCGGATAAAGTCGACTGGTTTCTCAATATTAGACTCGCCCCTACGTGTTTACGGATAACAAAGACAACCACCTAAACAAAGTCGCGGAACAACGAACCCTGCTCGTGGCTTACATCCCGACTCAGAGACGAAGCGAAGTCATCAGCCCACTTCGCCAGTATGGCAGCCCACATGCTATCGAAAGTAAAGCTGGGATGCAAAACGTGACATTGCAGTTGGTGTCTGAATTGAAGGTGTGGTCAGGATCCTGAGAGAGTCTACCGGCTAACTCAACACTGATCATCCAAGTCTACCTAGGGGAACCATCGCTGGATAATGTAGAGATCGGAAGGGGGTCAAACTCCGTGGGGAAACAACAACAGTATCACGCTTGCAACGCTTACGCGGCGGGTGGGTGTCGACTCCAAAACCAGTCTGCAGGGTGTCACCGTGGTCGTGGAAGACACTATATCACTAACCAAGATATTCCTACCTGACAACATACACTTCATGGGGTGAAGTGCACCCTGAACTATTATCAGAAAACCAGTTGGAAATTATCTCGCAATAATATAGCAATGTCTTGGATTCGGGCCCCAACACTACGATTAACGTAACTTAGGGGACACGGAGGGATTCGATCAGCCTGGTGAGGAAGACACCTTATACATCCTGCACTTGAAAGACAACGCGGTATAGGCGGGTGTCGTTATCAGATTTTAAAGAGCCTGAATGGTTAGTCAACTTAACCTCACCTCACTTTTATATCTCCCCTGAAACAAAAGAATACTATCTCCGAGATTAGGAACAACGGTATGATTATAGGATCGCTCGTCTCGAATCTAGTGTACAAGTCATACCAATACCAGACCACTCGGCAACATGTTAGCTTCCAGTGGGACGGTCAAGACAGAGATCAAATTACTCGATTACCAAGAGGTCTTTAGAAATGTCGCGATGAAAACTTCACATTCCTCATAGACGCCTATCTCGGGATATAAGTTTGACTAGAAGGTATATTAAAATTATAGATGATATGCTGATAG